AAGTTTCTCAAGAAGTTAAAACTCTTGAAGGAATTTCGTAAATCCACATTAAAATTCACTATGATATTCTAAAGACCACAAATTACGTTGAATAAAAGATCTATCTATCATGATTTTAAAATGTAACTTGTGTGTTAAGGATAAGCTTATACCGTCCTCACCTCTCTCCGTCTAAGTACCGTCCATCTATTTCCAATTTAGTGGGATTTCCTACTGACAAAATCAAATAATCCATACTTAATTCAGTTTCTAAACGCTGAATTTTGAATAACAACCCCATTTTTAATATCAATTATAAAGTCATTACATCGACAAAACGCGCACGTGTTGAGTTCATAATATTAGTGGTGAGGTTTTTATGACTGCCTCCTGTGTGCCGCGCTCGGCCGTTGTCATAGCAGCCTAGCCTCTCTGTGTTAGTATTCGCTTTCTGGCAGATAATAAAACATTTTTGTGAAGAAGATTTACACGGTAAAATGCGCCCTCTATTGTGCATCCCACCGGCGTAATTAGTCGCCTGACAAAACGTTTATTTGTAATATCAGCCCCGCACTAATCGCAATTTGAATAAAACTTCCGAAGCGCCATCACCTGTGCTCCTTCGGCGCATATTACCTGAAGTTTATCGATAGCGGTAATGTACATAGGGCAGTGCATAAAATGCACAATTCACGGGTTTTATTTCCGAGAGGAAATTGCATGGAAGTAATGAGCGAATTTATGATTAATATCAATCCTGATATTGACTGACGTAAGAACACTCGATGTATTTCTCTTGTTCGTCCGGAATAATTCCAACTACTGTGGTATTTTCTCCATCGTTTCATTTCTCTCGTGTTGATTCATACATAATAAGATATATATTAGAATATCGCAATATCATGTATAAAGCAGCCCTGTGCAATTTGACTAACTTCAATGGTAAATAATATAAGCGAATATTTTACAGAAATCAGAATTTTCAAAACATATGAAGTCTAGTCCTCAAAATTCAAATGTAATTCACAGAGACAGTCTGCAATAATAGCTCCACCTAAAACAAAAAGACAATTATAGCAACAACAAGGTCGTGTTTTACCAACTAACACCACACTAACCAGACAGCAACAACCACAGTCGAATACGCAGACGACAGCCGACATTGACAATATAAGCAAAGACCACGTCATTTATACAGCAAGCAACAATTGGGTGGCAATGACTTTGGTCAGAAACCAATGACACTTGAACATTTCATTGACTCGAACGGCACAAGTTATCTCAACTTATTTAACGCCTTCCTCATGGCAATATTACCTCGATCAGAAAAGCGAGCATAATATTTACCAACAACAATCAGATGGCAGCATGATTTCGGCCCCTTAAAAAAAGAAATTCTTTTTAGAATGCCATTTTTTTTTTCAAATTAAAGACGTATTATGATGCATAATTTCAATTATTGTAATATTAAGTTCGATTTTGAATTTTATTTTCTGTGCAAATTCACAGCTTACATTTGACATTTATCAAATGTTGTAGATATCTACTAAAATTTATCAAATCCAGTTATTGATGGTTTTTTTTTAAATAAAATAATATTTAATTTAATCATTATGTCTTTTTCACCGTGCTACCATGCTATTATAATGTATGATAGAAGGCGCTAATACGTTGTAATAACTTGTGCCTAAATCCCTTGTCCGTTTGGCAATAAATACGTTTCATCTAATGAAAATGTATATCGATCAACAAGGAAGAACACAACGAAAACAACAACAACAAAATGCTGTCAACAAGTCCGACTGAAGTTGTGTACAAATCCATACAGATTATATTCTAAAACTATCGGAATACTTGTATACTTACCAATGCAATATCATAATTCGTATTAGAACCACATGGAATATACTTAGAATGAAATTATTTCGCTAGTTTTGTAAAACACCATTTCACAAAGCATTACCTGGTGCAAGTAATTAGAATGTTTGATAAATTATAAACGCCTGAGTAGGATCCACGTCAATTCTGAAACAAACGGAAATAGATAAAAATGTAATAGATTGATAACATTTAAATTTTGATAATTAGGAAAAAAGAGAAAGAAAAAAGAACAAACAAAAAAGTGAAGAAGCATGATTATATCAGGGGTTGGAAAAATATAAATTTACATATGCATGATTTGTTTATCATTTATATCACTATATTAGTATTTTAAATGATATAACAGTATACTGTCTGGAGAATATTTTTTTAAATTGAAGGAAAAGTGTATACTATGTAAGAAATAAAAAAACCCGCTTATACAGTAAAGTTAATGGTATTTATGTATGTACAATATAAGAAATAAAACCGCTTATACAGTAAAGTTAATGGTATTTATGTATGTACAATATAAGAAATAAAACCGCTTATACAGTAAAGTTAATGGTATTTATGTATGTACAATATAAGAAATAAAACCGCTTATACAGTAAAGTTAATGGTATTTATGTATGTACAATATAAGAAATAAAACCGCTTATACAGTAAAGTTAATGGTATTTATGTATGTACAATATAAGAAATAAAACCGCTTATACAGTAAAGTTAATGGTATTTATGTATGTACAATATAAGAAATAAAACCGCTTATACAGTAAAATTAATGGTATTTATGTATGTACAATATAAGAAATAAAACCGCTTATACAGTAAAGTTAATGGTATTTATGTATGTACAATATAAGAAATAAAACCGCTTATACAGTAAAGTTAATGGTATTTATGTATGTACAATATAAGAAATAAAACCGCTTATACAGTAAAGTTAATGGTATTTATGTATGTACAATATAAGAAATAAAACCGCTTATACAGTAAAATTAATGGTATTTATGTATGTACAATATAAGAAATAAAACCGTATCTACACTAAAATTAATGGTATTTATGTATGTACAATATAAGAAATAAAACCGCGTATACAGTAAAGTTAATGGTATTTATGTATGTACAATGTAAGAAATAAAACCGCTTATACAGTAAAATTAATGGTATTTATGTATGTACAATATAAGAAATAAAACCGCATCTACAGTAAAAGTAATGGTATTTATGTATGTACAATATAAGAAATAAAACCGTTTATACAGTAAATTTATGGTATTTATGTATGTACAATATAAGAAATAAAACCGCATCTACAATTAAGTTATTGATATTTATATATTTACAATGTAAGAAATATAACCGCATATAGTTGAGTTAATGGTATTTGTAGTATGTATTTTTACGACGATGTAAGAAATATAAGCGTATTCTGTCTGTCTGAAGGGTATTTACTATTGTGTGAATGTACTTTGATAAATGTACCCAATGACCTTATATTTTAGACTATACAGTGTTAATTAATCACAGACAACTGTTTACTACGCCGTATACATACCACACACCGTTTTTTGTGACGCTACACAGGAGGTCTAAAACGTGACGTATACAATTTTTGTTAAATCAAAAATTTATCACTGCATCATTTGTAATTTATCTTGTCTAGATCTCGGTGCAGCATAAAAGCTTCAAACGCTAGCTATTAACAATGGTTTATTTTTTTAATAGCTTGATTACATAATGAGTGGGTAAATGTATTGTTTGTAGTACTCATTGACCGGGAGTACCCTAATCACACTCCAAGTCAAGTAACGACAAATAGGGCCATTGGCGGCTAACGTATGTGTTCTCAATTAGCAAATATATATGATAAAAAAAAATACGTTACTTTGCATACCCAAATATGTTATTAGATTCGACGTTCGATTTCTACACAGAATTATACAAACAACCCAGAATTATTCAAACAATCCAGAATTATACAAACTTACCCAGAATTATACAAACTTACCCAGAATTATACAAACCTACCTAGAAATCAATAAAATCTAAAAGATGACGATCAATTAAGAATGCTGCATGATTTTTTTTGTATTTAATTTATTTTCATATATTTTAGATGATAACCAAATATAATACACTAAACGTTTCAAATTTGTCATCTGGTCGAAACCGGTTAAAACAAACGTAAGAAATACCTACATTGATTCATATTCGACAGTAGCATAAATTGACATGCTGTTTTATGTTTCAAGTTGATTGAGATTGAGTTTGAGTTAAACGAATAAATAAATAATAAAAACAGGATGTTGTGAATTAGGTGATTAAAAAAATAAACAAAAACGGGGATGATACTCGGCATTTTACCAATATTAACAGACCTCTTATATATTAATTTCACTATGAAGACTGATTAAGAACCTTATCAGAGTCTTCCGCTGTCTAGAAAAGCGTCGAACTAGGAATTAAAGATATCGGTCTTTCATCGGTAACGTCCATAACAACGTTAAATTCAAAACATAGCATGGGAAATATAAACATTTCACACTAGTTAATCAGTTTAGCTATTTTAAGAACACGGAAGGGAATCCTCGTTTTACCCACAATTCTCAGTGGGGATTTCCCTGTGAGAACGAGGCACTAATGTCGAAGGTGTTATCCTAGTATTCAGTGAGTATTGCCAAATTTATCCGTTTGATATCTTTGTCATCCCAATTTGAAGTGCCCGTATAATTGTTTCAAATGCTAAAATCGGATCTATTTATGTGCATTATCTGATTATTTATTGTAAAGCCATGTTTGTTTTTGTCAATTTATTAATCAGTCCCATCATAGTTTGGACTGGAACTCAACCCTGCGCTCGGTTTGTTTACAAATAGCGCACTTTTCAATCGAGTACCATCTGCCTCCGAAAATCGATGTTCTTTCCATTTTTTTGTAGTTTGAAGCATCCTTATAGCTAACTAATGATGGAAAGTGTTTTATTTTGTACATAAAGTCTTATTTCCCGAAATATTTATCTTATTTACGTGAAGGGGAATTCCTATAGGTAGACTATTATTGACAGTTGCCATATATGGAAGTGGTCGCTACTGCGCATGTGCCGCTACCACTTGACACTTCAGTCTTGTAAGATAATATATTTAAAGTGGGCTGTTCCAATATTGCTCCAGTCAGATAAATAGTCGAAACCAATGAACATACCCATCTGTATTACAATAGCTCATCTGGTAATCGGACTATAAAGACGACAACTATTGGAGTAATTATAGAGGTGGACTGGTGTGTTACCTGTAGTGCTTTACAGGAATAATACTTTTACTGGACAGTTCTAACTTAAAACATAATTCATGAATTGCTCAAAAAATAGGAAAGGGACAATTTTTCCTGAAAACTATTACAACATGAGTGGTATTTCTGATTTTGCCATGTTTCGTTTTAATTTATGGCACAAAAACCCATTCTTTTCTCACCATGCAGCAGCAGTGGCTGCAGCTCAGGCCGGAAACCCAGGTATCATGGAAAATACTTCATTTGTTCCTAATCCACTGACTTCTCCGGCTCTGATGGTGTTGGCATCAACAGCTGAAAATCATGAGGGGGCGCGGATGCCTGCTCCACCCCACCACTACCAAGGACAAAATGTGGACAAAGACTTGGCGACACCTTTTGGCACCCCTCCCTTTACCATGTACAGACCAGGGGAACACTTCCCCCCTCCTATGTACACACCTGTCCCCCCTTATGTACGTGCCAACCTGGAGCGCGGGATGGGGCTGATTAACCCCGGGGGTGGGAGCGCATTTAGGCCTGTCAGTAACCCCGAAGGAGTTGAGAACTATCATTCTGCGTTTTCTTTGGCTAAAAAACCCAAACTTGATGAGTCCAGCTCTAGTTATGCCTCGTCAGAGAAGTTGGACAGAGACAGTTGTGATCCTCTCCATGAGGGTGCGGAAAGTAAGGGATCCACACCCTTTGTTAAGGAAGAACGTCCTTCTAGCATCAGCTCTGCCACCAACTCAGAAAATTTCTCGGATGGGGGAGACTTTGATAGGGGAACCCCGGATTCGGAAGGAAGATCTCTTAGAAGTAAGTTTTAAATTAATTTTTATTAAAAAAAAGGTTTTGTTGTTCTTACCATTTTTTGTTGTTCTTACCATTTTTTAAACTAATAAACCCAACAAAAATTTATCACATTTTATTTGAAAAGAATTGAAATGTATTCTCAATAAATTTCTCAAGCATGTATATAATTTTCCAAATCAAAGAAATTTTTGTCGATAGATAAGTATCTGTCGGTTCAAATTAATTATTGAACTGGCACTCGACCAGTCATGAGAATGTCAATGCTACTGGGAGTTCATGCTGACCTGGAAAAAAGACTAAATTGATTTTATCGTTTAAAATCAATGAAATTCACCAAGTTATGTTCCAATTTTGATCGAAATTCATTATAATTTTACAGCACAGCTTGTGTGTGGTAGGGATAATTAGCTGAGAGTTATCGGTTCCATCAGCTAAACTGCCTTAGAAAAATGCATCGTCTTGTTTAATATTACAAGCGCAGGACTGATCTCTTTGTTCGAACCTCTTTAGGTAATAGGAATTAGGATTCTTCTATTTAAACTTTCCATCATTTTCTGCTAACCTTTAAATCATAAAAAGAATAATGACATTTATCTATTCAGTAAAAAGCCATCAGTTGGTGACTGTGGGGTCACATTTCTGATTGTCAGTAATTATAATAAATATAATTTACAGTTGGACCATTATGTGTGTAATAGTATGTACACCGATATGTGTGCTTGTACCGACTGACACCCTACTAAATATCACCGGGGAACTATTGTGCTATACCGGTTCATATGGTCGTCCTGTACTTAACGATCAACATAAACATTTTTGTGTAGTACATAATTAACAATAGCTTATTATCATCACTTTCGGTTGAACTTTCTTCACTTTTTCCATCAGGAAAAGACAACTTAATTTATATATATAAGTTTTGCAGATTTTCTCAAAAATTAAAATATTTAAATTTGTAGACCTCTGTTAATGAAGGAAATAAGTACTATAGAACAGGAAGAAAATACAGGTGTGGAAGGTACAATATTTGTATTCATTTAAAATAGTAACGGCAAGGTAGCATTAATTTCAAATTTTCAAATACAGTATTATAAGTAGTGAACCAGATAGCATATATTTTAAAAATAAAGGCTGCTGTTAATTTATGGCAATAAATTAAATTTATAGATTACTGAAGTATGTACATACAAGCAGAAAATAATCAAATGATATGGACATTATCAGATACTACAGTCGAGTATCCTCAAGTTAAACCAAATAATTAGAACAAATTTTAAAACTTTCTACAGTTTGAACAAATAAACTTTGACAGATTAACATAAATTACCCTTATCTTCCTGCAGTTGATAATGGTATATAAATATAAAGTACATGTACTTCGGTTAAACAAACTTAATACCTGTATTTCCTGTTTCACCTACAAATCTCAAACAAAACACCTGAAAATCAATTGAGTAAAATTTTTCCTTCTCAAAATAATAAGTAAATTTACATCTAAGGAAAATGTGTGTATTATTGAGTTGAAAATCTGTAGAAATAGCCATGTCTATGATTCTGTGTCGACTGGGTTACCATAGATTATATTAAATATATTGGAATCATATCAATTACAATGTAAGTCATATTTTGGCAATTCTCTAAACAGAATCAGTAAATAAAATAAAACTCTGCAGTCATTTTCATTGATTATGATCCAGAGGAAAATTAATGTTTTTCTTTATTGCTTGTACATGTAATATCATGAAAAAGAATGAAGGGTATGTAGTATAGCCAGTACAAACCAGTTTTGATTGGATTGGTTTTATTATTACATTCTTCAAATCCAAATAATTTTCCATTGCAAAAAAATGAATTTCATGCAGTTTTCAAGAGTTACTTCTGAATTAATTCAGCATAATACATTATTGTTCTTAAAGATTTCCTTTGTATTTAATACTAAAATGATAAAATTATACATGCTACAATTATACATGAGATCAATATAAGATAGAAAATACTCTAAATGTTCTGTTTTCTAAGTACAGTAAAACTGAAACATATGTTTTAAGATTTTTTCTGAGAATTTTGATTTTACTGAAGATTACTGTAAGTTCAACAAAAATAAAAACAAACAAAAAATGTTAAGTTATTTTTTATTACCAATTTTTAAACAAGCACTATCAGTAGTCAAGTCTTAGAACTCTGCTCCAAAGATACAATTTAAAAACTTTTTGAAAAAAATAAAATCAAAATAAGTGCCTATTGTGCTAGTTAACAATTGAAACTAACACTTACTAAAGTACAGCACTGCAAGTCTTACTTCTGTAATGGACACTTTTACTGGGGCTGATGGAGTTGTTATACGTCCGGGAATATTAGTTAGTATTTAAAACCAAAACTATTATTTCACTCTGGTGACCAGGCACTTGTCAATTAGCACTGGTGGGAAAGTACAAGATATCCCCCGCAGGCGAGGGTCGAAGGCGAGGGTCAATCCCGTGCTTCTTCTCATGTGAATTTGTTCTTTTAACTATTTTCAGGGGAAATTAAATAACACTGAAGATACTGCGAACACTCACACTTAATAAAGCTTGTCTCCTCTGTTACTCTCCTCAAGCTGAATTACAGTCAGCTGTATGGTACAGGATAAAGCTATTCATGATCAATATTGAAAAAGTATTGGTTAGATTAATTTTTCATTGACAAAAGAAATTTTGAATATTATTTTCGATCAGTTTTTGTTATTTTTTTGTCAGACTTTTCGTGTATTAAAGTTCAATTATGTAGAAATAAACATTTCCATAATTAACTTACATTTATTAGTAATATCTTAAATTGTTACATTTGATATTTTTTTCTGAGAAGGTAACTCTTAATATATTTAAAAAGCTATTTGTCTATAAACATATGTTCCTATCGGGAATGCAATAATATTAACAAACTTTTAACTTATTATTTATAAAGCAATTTAAACCAAATTTTTCTATATTCTTTTTGAAATATTAATGGAAATCAAAGTAATTTTTATTTCCCACATCAATTTCTTCCACTTCAACAATGCTCATTTAAAATAATAAAATAAATGTCTGAGATTTTCTGTTGGCCTTCACTTGAATATCTAGTGATGATTGGTAGCGTTTTAAATGATTTATAGGTTTACCGTAGACATGCAGCGTTCACTGTACATTTATGACATGCAGTTCATATCTTAAATCATCAACGTGTGTTTATTAATTTGAAGTGTAACAAAGAAATACAACTGACAGAGGACAGTTTTTAACTCTTGGCCTCAGCCTGGGCCTACAGTCAAACCAGTGTCGACATTGACCACTGCGCACTACCGCCAATTCCCCGAAAAATGAATCCCGGACGTTGTAAGAAATAGCTGGTTAAGCTCGACATGATCATATAGATATGGGAATTATCTATTGATGACATCAAATGATTTGCCGTTTTGTGTTAAAATTTCTTCTATATATTTTCTAAAATTATTATAAATATGTTTGGGGAAAAAAATGGCAAAAACATGCAACAATGTTCTTGTTTTAATTTATTTATTAAAAATGTTTTCTTTATAAAATTATTATTCTACACAGTCTTTAGTTATCACTATACAATTACCAAAACTTCTAAAGAAGTTCCTAAAACATTATTAGTACATCTGAATGTAACTTTTAAAATGATTAAAGGTTGGGTATAAATAGGATTAAAGGTTGGGTATATATAGGATTAACATTAGTGTTGGCCTGATGATCGATTATAATCGATATCTAATCGGAAAGGCAACTGATTCCGGACACTAATTAACGTGTATTTATAATAAGTCTTCCTTATTTTGTCACAGGAAAGGATACATTGCTAGTTTTTCGGGGAAGTAATGTAGTATTCAGAAATTTTCATTTAATTTTAATTGTAAAATATATATGTTTTAAAAGGATATACAGTAAAAGTCCTGACTTGAAAACTATCTAGTCTTGTAATATAATACATTTTAAGTTCATTTTAGGAGATATACGTAGCAACAACGTAGAGTTGATTGTTAACTTAGTTTCTACCGAAATAGTGTCCGATATTGATAAACTGATGATTGTGATACAAAATTTGAATTCTTGAATCAATTGATTTTCTATTAAGAAATATTCTGTTTTGACAAATAAAAATGACTGAATTACAGTAAATATTTGATAGAATTGTAGATTTTTTCCCTCGATTATATACTTTGTAGTTTATTTAATGAGCATTTAGAACCAATTCGTCTTGGGCTTAAAAACGTTGAATGTGGAGATTTTTACATTATTTTAACAAGAAAAGATAAGTTGAAAAGGTTTTTACTGGTGTAATTAATAATGCTGATTAAAAATAAATCCAGGATATTCCAAATGATTAAAATATCTTAACTTCTATGGTTGTAAATTAAATATATGATACTGCCTGTTTACATGGTAGTAATAGTTTTCCTTGCTTGGGACCAACTTAACTTAAAATGATGATATTAAAATGTGATATGATGATATTAAAATGATGATATTAAAATGGAAGGTTACGATGACATTGAAAGGAGTTTATGATACCTGAAATTTATAATGTGGTCCCTTTAACTACAAGACTAGGGGATCTAGATCCTAACTCCGGAGGGGGGGCAGTGGGCAGTCCCTATAATTTGCCAAGTTAATCAGAGGATGCCTGTCACTGGTATATATAGATAATAAAATACCTATTTCCTCCATGGAATGATTGACTTTTTATTGAACTAAGCTCTTTACATGTCTCCTTGAAAAGCTAAGTTACTTGGTGATTGTGTAGGGGCCCAGGAACCTTATGGCCTTGCTAAGTGACTAGCCTGCCCAGGAGCTAAACAGAGCAGGTAACTTACTGACCGAACAATGGCCATAGTGGCTGGACACAGGTAAGGTGTCGGGTAACATGTAATCTCAATGCCAACAGACTGACCAGTGTCCACCCCCTGTGGCCGATCACAACATTTGTCACTTTTTTTCGGCCCTGGTGTGAAATGTAAACCGATT